CATCCTGCATTATTTGCTAAATCTGGTAACCCTACTCCAAACCCCTGTGAAAAAATGGCATGACCAGAGCTTTGCTCCTCTAATGGTCAAGGTTATCATGTGTTTTGCTCTGCTGCTGTAGAGGCAGGTATGAACAACAGCATTTGAGGATCATGAAAGTCACCTCTCAGGCAATTGCTTCTAATTCGTCTTCCACTGTTCCTTTTTTTTGTGCTGCATACGACAACACCTTATGGTCAGGAGGGAGTAACTGCAACCCTCTTATTATTTACTCTTTTTATTTCCTAAGACTTCCCCTCTCCAAAAATAATAATTTTTTTCTCACCTTCTTTTCCTTGACCAGTGCATCAAGGGCATGAATGGGGGGCACAGCACCCTTGTTCATTCTATGCACAATGCATTGCTTCTTAGCAAACAGTCGAATTACAGCGAAGCCCTGTTAAAAAAGATAGTGGAGAGTGAGGTGTATGTTCTCCAAGCAGTTTTTCTCATTGGAAATCAGTTCCACAGCAGAGAGAAATGGAGCCCCAAGAACGTGATGAGCTGGAATAAGAGCACTGGATCTGCTTGTGTTTCATATTCAGACCTATTTTGTCAGGATGGACAGCAAAATCTTTGGGGGCAGAGACCCAGTGTCTAACTTGTCTTACTGCCCAGGTTCTAGTGCTGTAAAAGTCGCTCATGAAATGTCTGTTTGGATGAAATGAATCTTTAAAAATACTGTCACAGTGTAATCTATTTTGATTCTCACAAAATCTCAAACAGAAGGTAAGACGGGAGTTAGTTTTTTAGTTGATCAGATAATAAAACTGAATGAAAAATTGGCTTTTTAAAAGTAGTTTGTTAAGAGACGGGTCTCTTACTTGAGCCATGTTTTTTTTCTGTTTTTGCTTCCCTTACCAATTAATGTCATTTGTCATTTGCATTTCCTTTAGGCATTCTGAGTTGTATGTGGAATATCAATTTCTGTCATTTCAGAAGGAAATTGAGTACATAATGAAATAGGCTGTGCTTTGGTCGGAGTAATATTGTGTAGGCCTTTCACTATTGAGGATCTCTGCAGATAGGCAGATAGGGATTTGGCCTTTGATATAGTTTTCTTTTATGAGGTGCTCTGATGGCACACTGGTTAAAGCGTTTGGCTGCTAACCCAAAGACTGGTGATTCAAACCCATCAGCTACTCTGTGGGAGAAAGATGAGGCAGTCTGCTTCTCCTAAGATTTACAACCTTGGAAAAAAACCCTATGGAGGAGTTCTAATCTGTCCTAAAGGCTTGCTATGAGTCAGAATCGACTTAATGGCAGTGAGTTTTCTTTATAGTTGTCTTATAGCCTCACAATTCCTTGAACAATAAGTGTCCTTATAATGGTTCATTGATCTGAAGTTTAACTGATTGTGGGAAACTTATTGTTGTTGTTGTTGTTATTTGCTGTCAAGTCGGCACCGACTCATAGCGACCCCTCCTTGGGTTTCCGAGGCAGTATCACTACGGAAGTAGGATTGCCCAACCTTCCTTCCGAGGAGTGGCTGGTGGAAACTTATTAAGAGCAGTTAAATCTAAGTAGTGAGCAAATAGGACCCTTTAACTTATACCTATATACTTATGTGTAGTTAGAATTTATCTTAATTTTGTTTTCATGCTTTTTTTTTTTTTTTTTGGTTAGGAAAGAAACATTCTACTTGGAAAGAATGGAAATTGCATGTTGGCTACCTACAGTTTCATAATCCCAGAGGACATTCCAGGAGTCCCATCCATTGTTGTTGTCCACGTTGGCCACTCTATGTTGATTGTTGACACTCACTGACTGCTGCCCACTTCCAGCATTGTTGTTGTCATCATTGATGTTGATATTCTGAGGTTTATAAGAAACTGAGAATGATTCAATACCACATTTATTTGCAAATATATTTTGATAACAAACTTTAAGACTTGAGACTTACATAATCAGCAAGGGCAGGAGCTAGGAAGACTCCAAGAAGTCCAGCAAAGAAAATCTGCAATCACAAATAAAGTTGGCTTACTGTTACATGGCAAAATTATTTCTTCTTCTTTTTCCTTCCTCTAGCCATGCTTATGAAAAATACTTACTAATTTTACCACTCTGTTGAGTGATCTGTCATTTCTTCTTTTTTTAAATCCTGTATTTTTTTAGCTAGAGAAGTTTTTAATGATAATATACAATTATAAATTAATTATAACTAACTATATTAACGTGTTATACAGTTTTGGAGTTCTGATGCTGCAAATGATTAATGAGCTTGACTACTAACTGAAAGTGTGGAAGTTCAAGTCTGTCCCGAGGTACCTCAGAAGAAAGGCCTGGTGATCAGTGATCAGATCTGAAAAACAGGCTTTGAGAACCTATGGAGCATAGTTCTACTGTGACATACATAGGATCACCATGAGTCAGAATCCAACTGATGACAACTAGGGTATACAGTTTAGAATTTTCTTATTTAAGCCTTAGGAAAAACTGATGAAGCATTGGTATAGTGAAAAAGAAATTTGAAGAGGAATAGTGTACATGATGTGAAAATGGTTATAAGTTTTAAAAATCACACCTGAAAATGATTTATTTTCCTATTACTGCTGGGCTGCTTTCCTCCCTTTGTCACTCTCTTAATAACAGAAATACAGTACTCATTTTTTGAAAGTAAAGGATTAGGAGGCAGGTTGGATGCTGATGAGAAGCTGAGGATGTGGGTTCTGGCAATCAGCCATGGCTAGCAGAAGGGAAGTCAGTAACAGTGCCCCATGATTATTTGGTTTAGTCATTCATTCCTGGGCACATGATGTTAAATTTCAGAACACAGAGCTCTAACAGGGTGCCCATTGCATGTATACAGGTACAAAATAGTTTGAGACTTGCACTGGTGTTTCAAGGTAATTAAAAAATTGTTAAATTTAAAAAGGAGGTAAATATTAGTCTCCTAAAAAAGTTAAAAGTAGAAGAAATCTTAGTGGTCTTCTAGTATAGGTCAATCCTTTTACCCATGAGAGAACTGAGCTTCAAAAGTAAGTGAGTCTACCAAGGCCTCAGCTCTCGTTTGTGCCAGAACAGGAAGAGAAATCAGATCTTCTGACTTGTGTCTGAAGCTCCTTTTTCTTTTTCTTGCCACTCTTAACAACAATAATAACAACAAAACTCATTGCTGTTGAGGGTATTCCAATTCAAGGTAACCCCATGAGTTCCAGTGTAGAACTGCTCCACAGTGTTTTCTTGGCGGTAGTATTTATGGAATCAGATTGACAGATCTTTCTTCACTGCTGGGGATGGATTCCCTCCATCAACCTTACAGTTAGTAAAAAAAAAAAAAAACAAACCAACAACAATAAAAAAAAACTCACTGCCTTTGAGTCAGATCCAACTCAGAGACCCCTCCTTGGGTTTCCGAGGAGATACCACTACGGGAGTAGATTGCCCATCCTTCCTTTGGAGAAGTGGCTGATGTGCTTGAACCACCAGCCTTCTGGTTAGCAGTCAAAAGCCTTAGGCACTAGCAGCTAAGAGTAAATCATTTGTGCCACCCAGGGACCTATAAAACCTGTTGCTGTTGAGTTGATTCCAACTTATGGTGACTCTATAGCACAGAGTAGAACTGCCTCATAGGGTTTCCAAGGCTATAATCTTTATGGAAGCAGACTGCCATGTCCTCCTCCCACAGAGCAGCTGGTGGATTCCAACTGCCAACATTTTGGTTAGCACCGGAATGTTTTAACTGCTATACAACAGGAGGGCTAATTTGTAGATAATTTATTTACACTTGCATCTCCACCATGAAACAGAGTCTGATGTAATATATCCTAGTATGTATTATGTTGGAATATAAAATATACTCATCAACTGATTCCAGCCCCTTTGCACTCTGTTACAAGAGACATGTGATACTATTGGTTACTTTGGCAGAATTCTGTGGTCCACCTGTTAACTCTCAGCCTTCTATCTGGAACGCCAGGTGAGATGCTGCACTAGCTTCATGCCTCAGGTGCGTTCATGAGTAAATGGCCATGTCCAGGGGCCAAGGCAAACTTTCTCACCTGGAGATCTATTTCCCAGCGTGGAATGTGCAGTACACCTCTCACTCACTTGTTTTGATAATAAACTTTTTTTTGTATCTTGCCTGAATATGCTCGGGAGTTTTGGTCAGAGAAGGAATTTTAGAAAGGTGTGAAAATTTCAGGGACTCTCTAGGGCTTCCAGACTGCTTTCTGTATTCTGAGACCCAAATTATGTGATCTGGAAAGAAATTGTATTAACAACAGCATGGCCTAAAATGCTCAGACAGCTGTCTACCCCAGTATAGTTACCCTATCTATAGAGATGCTTATAAAAGCTATGGTCCATGAAAAGAAAACAGACAGTGTTTTACAAATGTTTACATTATAGTGTTATTGCCGTGAATAGCAGACTTCCTACCTCACTCAGATAGCAGTCTTCAACTATAAGAAATTCAAAAGGAATAATCTACTCACTGTGAACTTCATCTTGTCTCCAACCAAGCAGTGGAGCAGAGGAGAAGGCAGGCATGGACTCGGGACTGGAGCTTGCCATATTTGTACTTGACCTGCTTTACTCAAGCTAGGTGTGACAAGGTGGGGTTGCAGACTTATCCTTCTTTTCCATATCTTGCCATGGCACAGTATGCCAGGAAGTCTTTTAGTGTATTTATGTGGTTAGCAAGACACTTTAACAGGAGTTGCTCTGATTCATCATCTGTTGAAGTTGAAGGTATGACAACATGATTTATGATAACTTCTGGTCCACTTGCAATTTTGGGTGTGGTTATTTTATACCTTGATATTACACAGATTCTGAAAAAGAATAATCCCTAAAATCAAACAAGACCTAGATGAGAAACCATGTGCACACTGAGCCTTGCAGATAGCAGCTCCTGTAAGAATGTGGGAAGGGTTCTCTCTTCTTACTTATCCTGAGGTTATTGTAATGGACTTGCTTATACTCAGTTACCTAAAAAGCACAGAAACAAACCAACAAACCAAAACAGTCTCTGTGGAGTCAATTCTGACTCATGAGGACCCCATGTGCCCATTTGTGTCAGAGTAGAACTGCTCTATAGGGTTTTCAATGGTTGATTTTTGAAAATACATTGCCAGGGCTTTCTTCTGAGGCACTCTGAGTGGACTTGAACTTCCAATCTTTTGGTTAGCAGCCCAGCATGTTAAACATTTGTACTACCCAGGGACTATGTTACCTATTCCCACCAAACCTATCTATCCCCTTTTCTGCACTACTGAGTTATCTCAATGACAGTATCATACTTTCGTTAGAAACCTGGGAGCTGTGTTTAGCCCTTTGTTTTAGTCCCTATATCCAGTTAAACCAAACCAAAAAACCAAACTCACTGCCATCGAGTCGGTCCCAACTCATAGTGACCCCTCCTTTTTTCCCAGGCAGTATCACTACGGAAGTAGGTTGTCCAACCTTCCTGCCTAGGAGTGGCTGGTGGGTTTGAACTGCCAGACTTCTGGTCAGTAGTCAAATGCCTTAGGCACTACACCACCAGAGCTCCCCCATATCCAGTTAGTTACCAAATTACCAAAGATATTTCATCTCTGAAATGCCTATCAACTCTGGCCATTCTCATAGTTTCTCTCACCTGACTTTTACAGCAGTTGTGTAATTGATCTCTCTAGTCACCAGTGTCATATATTCCAGTGCATTTTCTTCACTTTCTCTAGGATTGTCGTTCTAAAGCACATATAAAAGTTTTATATTGTAGGCTGCCAGTGAAAGTGTTTAAGCTTAAGCAGCCTACAAGATAAAGTTCAAACTCATTAGAATGGCATCCAGGGTCCTTTGTAACAAGGTCTCCAAGCTTTCCTAGTTATATCTGCCACTTCATGCCATGTCTTGATGTTCAGCTACACCAGAATTCCCACTCTTCCTGAAATATTCAACCTATTTCGTGCTTCTCTGCCTTTGTACCTGCTGCTCTCTGACCCTGGAGTGCTATGTCCTTGCTTTCTCTACTTGGTAAACTGCTATTCATTTTTTAAGGCACAGCTCAAATACCATTGACTCCATCATCTCCTAGATGGAACTTTCCTTATTTTTTCCTGGAGCTATAAAATAAATCTCTTTTATTTACTTCTGAATAATTTTTTAAAAACCATTTTTTAAAAAATCAAAAATAGTGTAGAAACTTTCACTTGGACAAACAGGTAAATACTCAATCTTGAAGGTGAATTAAAGCTTTCATTAGTGATTTTTTTTTTTTGTCACTTTCCTTGAAATTGGAACTGGTAACATCATTTGTGCTGAATCTCATCAGTCACTGATCTATGAATATTCCCTTTGGAGACCTTGAGCCCCCGATTGCCCTCCTGTACATGAGTTAGATGTTTCCATTGTGATGAAACTTGGTGCGCTATCAACACCTTTTTCAAATTGTTGGTATAAGTGGCTAAGTATAGCTGGAGTAAGACTCTGTTTATATTTTTAATGTGTCTACTGATTTCTTTTAAATTCATCTTTAACAGCAAAAGGACAGTGAGCCTGGGGTGGAAGCCTGTGAAAAAGTCTTTATTAGCCTTAAACCAAATCAAACCAAACCAAACTCATTGTTGTTGAGTCAATTCCCACTCACAGAGACGCCATAGGTTACCAAGGCTGTAAATCTTTACGGAAGTCGATTGTCTCATCATCCTCCTGTGGAGCAGCTAATGGATTTGAACCACTGACTTTCTGGTCAGCAGCCAAATGCCTTACCCACTGCACCACCTACTCAACTCACTGCCATTGAGTTGGATCTGACTCCTAGCCACCCCTCCTTGGGTTTTCAAGACAGTATCACTATGGAAGTAGATTGCCCAATCTTCCTTCCAAGGAGTGACTGGTGGGTTTGAACCACCAGCCTTCTGGTTAGCAGTCAAATGCCTTAGGCACTATGCCACCAGAGCTCCCATTGCATCCCCAAAGCTCCTTTATTAGCATTAAGCACCATCATATCACAGTGAAGTCAAAGCAAGGACAACATGGTCTCAGCTTTTAAACTTAGCCTTGGTACCAGTGTGATGATGCCTAGCAGACATTTTGCATGTTATAACTTATCAAGGATGTGAGGTTGCCATATTCTATAGTTGGTTGTGAAATACTGGTCTGGAAGGTGCTTCTTGACAATAAATAAATAAAGAAAACAGTTCAAAGTCCAATAATCCCACTCTTGGGGGTTCACAATTCACATTTGCATACCAAATGTGCTGAGAAATCTGTAGGGGAGAAACCTACTTCACATGGGTTCATCTAGGTTCTAAACTTTTTTGATGGCTGAACCCAGTTGTTTTTCTGTTTTCTTTTCTTTCTTTAATTCTCCTGACACCTATTAACTTCCGTTGTCACTGAGTAGGCACCTTGACTGGAAAATTGATTTGAGAAGCTACTGGCTGGAACTAACCAGGAGACTATAGTCTACTCTTTCCAAACATGAATGAGTCCTTTCCATGTGCCCTCTTACGGGGCAAAAGAGGAGAAATTCTCCCCTTTACAATATGGCTGTTTCTACAGCTCTGAGAACCATAAATAAATAAAGACAAGGCAGTTTTAATCCTTTAGCTTGAGAATCTCCTTCATGCAATTCAAATTTTTAAAAGGAGCTTGTTGAGCATCAGATATGTGTCCAGCATATTCTAGGTTCTATAGAGGTGACAAAAAAATGTTGACATGTCCTGTCTTCCTTTCACTAGAGGACACAAAACATACAGAATATAGTTCTCAAGTGGAGAGGGAACAAGAGACATGTGTTTGTTTCCTTAGGGTTTTTGGCCTTGGATATGAAGAAGACTACGGTTGGGAATGACCCCTTCTGTGCACCCCAAGAGAAAAGAGGTTCTTCCAACTGAGGGCCCTTATCCACAGGGAAACTGCCTTGCCACTCCCCATGCTGTGGACCAGCTGGCTGTGGTGACATATTGAGGGAGTCCCAGGTGACTATGTGACTCCAGTGACCCAGAGTTAGTGCGGAACAAACTGCCAATGGGTAAATAGGGCTTGCCCTGCCCACAGAAATTGATATTAGTCCATGGCAAAAAACCAGCCTCTATCACCATTTTATCTCACAATCCACACACACCCCAGGCTTCACTTTGCCTCACACATAATCATGTCAAGCTCAGTGGAAACTTCCTTTATATGCAGCAAACTGGGGATGTATTCTATGTATAATATGCTAAAACCTTTTGCTGGAAGGACTTTTAGAGATTTCCTATAGAAATCAGACTTTTTATTCTCCAGACTTTTTCTCCAAGTGGAAGGGAATGTTTTTGTGGTAGTTCAGTTTGTATATCAACTTGGCTGGGCCTGGTTGACTGGCTGGACAGCCAGATGTAGTATTCTCCATGATGAGACTGGTAATCAACTCCATGGTGGAGTCTACTGTGAGCAGCTGAGTAGCTGCCTTAGGGAATGTGGTCTGCTTCCTGTATATAAGCAGAAGCCTTGGGGAATGGTCTCTAGCTCATGGCATGCTTGGAACCTGCATGTAGCCATGTTGCTGTTCAGCAGCCTGCCATGCTCTGCTGACTTTGGGACTTACAATGGACTTAAATTAATGGCCTGCCGTGTGGTTTGGTAACATCGGGACTATGCCTTTTTACTTGTCAACCTTAGGCTTTCCAGCCTCAGCAGCCAGCAACTGTCTGAGTGAAGAAAAGCCTCTAGTCCAGTGGGCCAGGAGCAGGAGGCAGAGCTGAAGTCCAAGGTTGAGGGGCTTTCAGACAGCCCCTAGAGCCTGGGACTTTGAACTTGGACTTAAAGCCTCCAAACTGTAAGAGAATAAACTCCTGTTTGTTAAGGGCTTCCCGTTTGTGGTATAATTCTTGTCAGAGTGGCACCAGGTAACTAGAACAATTTTCATTAAGCATCCTTATTCAAGAGAGAATCTTTCCTCCCTAGATGTGTTAGTGACTGATCTAAAAAAACCAAAGCCCCAACAAAGTCCTTAACAATCTCATCTTCCTTTTAATTCTTGTCCCATCTTCTCATTTTAAGATTCATATGGTCCTTAATGTTGGTGATGTGCTTGGGTTCATTGTTGAAGCTATTGTGTCAACCCATCTCATTGAGGGTTTACTTCATTTTTGCTGACCCTTAGTTTTACAAACTATAACATCATATTTTCATTTATTTGCTTGAATGTGCAAGCCTCTTAATGCAGAGATTTTGTCTCTGTCTCCTTGCCTTTATGTTATAACTTTCTCAGCAACATACACACCAGTTTGATGATCCTTGTGACAGTCCCAAGGCAGGTAGTTCATTGTGAGGTTTGAACATATGTCTTCATCTGTGAAAATTATACCCTCTCCCACTCTCTTTGTTTTCAGCATATAGCTAAGACTTCTTATGGTTCTCATGGCTACAGCCCCCAGGGCCTGGGGTAAAGTTGTGCTTAGATCAAATGCTCCACACTTACTCCTGGCCAGAAATGACATATCTAAACAAATGGCAGAAGGAAAGTGTAAAATGAAAT